ATGGACCCAATAATTCCACACTGAAATCAGCCGTCACCTCGTTGGGTCGCACAGGCTCATCAGTGGGCACCCAGCTGCTGTAAAACCAGACAGAAGCTGGAAGCGAAGCCCTTCTGGGGATGCTGGTGTGGGGCTGCCCACAGCTTTGCTCCTGTGGGCACATTGGGCCGCGCTGTTTTTACCATACATGGCCAAAACCTGAGGCTGCACGGCTTCCTCGTGCGTTTCAGCCAATATTGGTGAATCTGTTTGCATGTGGTTAAGGGGCCTGGCTGTGCAGGGGAGCGGCACACCCGTGGCTTCCTCTCTGTGTGGTGCAGAGCTGGGTGAGGTGGCTGTGGGGAGATGAGAGCCGCTTCTTCCCATGTGAAGGGCCTGCAGAAAGCCTCCGAGCTGCGTGTGTGTGAAGCGAGGAAGCGACGTATGCCTCGACTACAAATTCAACCAGCAAACGCCATTGAATGTTTGCTGAACTTCTACACAAGTCCAACAGCCAACCAGCAGGAAAATCTCCATTTCATACCCAGCAGCATCTTGGGACAAAACGATAGACCTCGAGATCAGAGCTGCATCCCGGCCGGCTCCCACCCTTGGCAGCAGTTAACATGAAATTAATGTCTTCCTCCCCAGAGCTCAGCCCTCATCACACAAATAATCTCTTGAAATCTGAAAAAAAAGGAAAACAAAAGCAGCGTGGCAGCCCTACAGGGGGCAGACCTGTAGGTAATCTGCAGTTTAATGGGTTTGGATGGTGATTCATGTTTTCCATCCAGGTACGTGACTCAGTGAAGGTCATACAATGAGTCAGTGACCAGCGCCGTCCCGCTGCCATCGCTGTGCTGCACCTATTGAGCATCTGGGGTAAAAGTTGATTGAAGCTGCTCATGCAAGGGGATAATGGTACTGATAATAACATGATCTTGCATGTGTATAGCTCCTTTTAGCTCAGGATGTGGTGTTTTAATCATTACTCTGGTCTGAAATGCAACAGGCAAGGTGGAAGGTACCCAACACCACACACGGCTTAGAACAGAAACCAGGTGAGGTGTTGGCATCTACCTACAGTTTGAAACTAAAAGAGGGGAGATTTAGATTGGGTATAAGGAAGAAGTTTTGACACTGAGGGCAGTGAGGCACTGCACAGGGTGCCCAGAGAGCTGGTGCTGCCCCATCCCTGCACACAGCCACGCTCAGGGCACGGCGCTGTGAGCACTGCTGGAGCTGTGGGTGTCCCTTTGCACTGCAGGCAGTGGGAACAGACGGCCTTTGGGGGTCCTTTCTGGCACTAACCATTCTGTGACTCTATGATGAGTGATATGCAGAGGGGACCAAGTGAAATTTGCCCTGAGTAATCCAACCAGAGCACAGCCCTTGCAATAACCGCCCTGAGCGACGTGTTCTGCGCTCCCTGTGCAGGGCAGCTCACTCGACACATGGCTGGAAGAATCACTCGCTCTGACTCAGAAGGAAGCGATACCTGTTGGATTTTCACTGGTGTTACATTAAGAGTTTGGCTGAAAACACTCCAAAGATCACTCGGCCCCTGACCTGTGTTAATGAGCCGTGTCAATCCCAACAGAATACCATAGAAGGCGATGAAGAAATGACAGAAATTTCGGGCTGAAGCCTTCACCAACAGAAAAGGATGGCCAAGGTTCTACAGACGCTCTCTGGTTCCTCTGTAAACAGTAATCTTCATCACTTCAGCTGAATGAAATCATTCTAACAAACCGTACATAAATTACAGCCGAGCCTAACAGCTTGTCAAAATATGTCACAAATTCTAAGTTTTCTAAAGGAAAATATCCTATTACCAAATTCTTGCAGCTACAAGGGATCCGACAACAAAGTTTGTCCCTCTATTTTAGAAGCTCTAACACACCCAGTGATTAAATTTTGCAGGAAAAAATCACAATTAACTCAGAAGCATGTTCTGCTGCTTTCAGCCATCTCACCTATCCTGCCCCCTGCTACACGGATGCACAATTGCTGCCGAGTCTGTCTCACAGCCTTTATACGGAAACAGCACCGTGGCTCCAGACTCCATCTCTGGAACTTAGGTCAGCAGCTAAATTTAGCTTGCTTGCAAATATGCATCAATTCCATCGGTGCAATAAATCACCGCGGCGATCCCGACACGCCTTATAAGTAACACATTCAATACAGCCCACAACGCTCCTTGCCAGCGCAGCGATGCTCGTTTTAGTTCAGAAAAGGTGAAGAAAGCAACACCAGGAGGCACACAGGGCTATTTGCAAAGCTCTGGAGCGTTGCTCCTCATCATCTGCCCAGAGCTGTGACTCTCAGCGCTGCTGGAAAATTGCTTTGCTCGCAGCACAGCGCGAAATCAGCTGCAGCATCAGGAGCAAACCTCAGGAGTGCATCTCCCCCGGGCATCCCACTGAAAGAATAAGTGCTTAAGACAGCTATAAATGAGACATTAGAACATGGAAAATAGGGTGGCACAGACTGCCTGCTGCCTCCACGGGGGCCTGAGCTGCTCCTAAGGGCAGGGCAGGGCAGAGCCATCCCTGATGGATGCAGCCCAGCCAAGCAGTCTCTAGGAAGTCACTTGGGGGATGCATTTGTTACAAACATTTCAATTTGCCCAAATCCTCGTGGCTAAATATATTCTGAATGAAGGAAAACGGCTTACGGAGGGTTTAGAGAGATCAACAATTTAAAAGTCTCATTTTTGCAGCTTAACTGCTAAGTCACACAAAATACACCAGACAGGAGAGTTTGGGACTGTGGGCACCCCAACTATACAGCTTGTTCAGGACATTTGTGTCCACCGTATTTCTTGAAGCCTTTGGACTTCCCAGAGACCAATGGGCACACGTTGGCAAGAGCAGCTCTAGCCATTGCACAAGCTTTATTTTTAAGGGACGCCTCAACGGCCACCCAAAGCAAGGCACAGTGGTTCTGAGGCATTTCTTGGTGCTGGCCCACCCATCCCAGCTCAGCCTTCAGACCTCGGGACCATGCAAGCAAATCCCTTTTATTCAGTCCTCGGCCAGAAAGGGGAGCTGTGGAATCACAGAGCAAAGCCTACATGAACAATGTGTTCTGTCAGGTTTGTGGAATAACAGCTAGGAAAGGGAGAAATGTGAGAGCACATCAGTGATGCGGACAGAAGGAAAGGAGAATGAGTGAGTGAAAGTAGGGCTGAGGAGCTACAGCCCCCCACTTTTAGCTCTGCCCACCTCCGCGTGGCCCCATCCCTGCACATGAGCATTAGGCCATGGCATTATCCATAATTCATACTGCCTCTATGAATGATTTAACACACATTTGATAAAGCACATCTATTACTACATATGCACGCTCTCACACACGTTATGTGTAGCAATAGAGATGTCACAGCCATCCATTCCAGCAGCTCCATAGGAAAGGCACAGAACACAGTGCTGCCCAGCTTTACAGCCGGGGCTGATCTTTATATTAAATCTGAGCTTGGTTTTCTCCTCCTATAGTTTTCTTCTCCATCCAGGATCACTCAAAGGCCTGGACCTGCAGACACCCAAGGTCAGGGGACGGGTCTGTGAGCACTGCTGGAGCTGTGGGTGTCCCTGTGCACTGCAGCACTGTGACCAGATGGCTTTGGGGGTCCCTTCCGCCTCAAACCATTCTATGATCACATCATATATTTTCCTTTTTCCTCATTTCTTTTGCAATAAAAGACTGGTGGTCCCCACACCTAACTAAACTGTCGGGACACCAAATAGCCACAAAGCAATCAGATGGGATTTTTCTTTGTTGCTATCTCCACTACACCAGATGACTGAACATGGGAGAGAGATAAGAAAGCAGAACGCACACACACACAAAATAGCAGTAATGAAAAAAGCAAGCTGTATTTTATTTACAACATGGATATCCCAGGACTGACACTTCCTATCATTCTGAATAGCAGGAAAAAATCAGGCAGGCAGTAGGGAGTGAGCGGGGCTGTGAGCAGGGCTGTGAGCAGGGCTGGGCGCTGCGGGTCTCCGCGTCACACATCCCACAGCCCAGTCTTGTCCTCATTAGTCAACCAGTTTGGAAGCCTTTTGCCATCTCGTTCTGTTTCTCTCCCTGCTGTCTAGGATCAAGTTGGGCCAAAGGTGCTGGAAAAATCAGAGGTATAAGAAAGGCATCACACGGCGGTACGCAGAAGCGAGATGTCCTTGTGCAGCGCGAGGCGGGGGAAGATGTGAGCTCGGCAGCAGGTTTGCTCAATGGGCTGCAGGAACAGAACTCTCCCCCCTGTTCTGTACCACCCCAGGAGGGCTCTCATCTCAGTGTGATTGCCCCCTGGGGCGCCCGGCCCTGTGGGGTAACTGCTCCTGGCTTTTAATAACAGCGTTACTCCATTCCCAGCCAGCACAGATTTCCTGCGCCCTGACATTTATTTTCCTTTATAAGGAAATCCCCAATTGCAGACTGTCAGAACGCCGAAGGTGCAGCTTCACCATCACTGTCCGACACGTCCTCAAGCACACTCACTGCTAACCTCTTCCTGTTTCTGTTTCACTGCTAAAATCCCAGCACAGCTCACTTATTCACAGCTTTGCAGGGGGACGGCTTCCAACTGATGTCATTCTCCTGCACTCACCCAGCCAAGTCCCAGCACAGGAAAAAAGAACCCGGAGATGACAATACCTGCTGATTACACCGTAATTAAACTGATATCAGATCACCCAGTGTGCAGAGAGACAAAGAAGGACAGGTGAAAGCGTGAAAAAGTACCGTGCAGTCACTCTTATGTTAGATCTGTTCATGAAATCATCTGAACTAGACGTGGCACTCATTTACTAATTGCACCAAAGGCTCCAGGAGAGCCATGACATAGCAAAACCCCATCTCACACAGCAGTTCCACTGGCACCTGCCAGAATTCCGTCCCTGATACAACCACAGCTCTGCAGGATGGAGCCTTGCCCCGCAGCCCTCACCCCACTGACCCCTTTCCACCCATTTTGCAGACCTGTGTCCCACTCCCCCCATTGTCCCCCTCACCTTTCCGGGCACTGCTAGCTGCTGCCTTCCCCTCTGCTTTCGCCTTCTCAAAGGTTTTCTTCGCATCGGCAACTTTGAGCACTTTCTCCTCCTCCTCTTCCTCCTCCTCCTCGCTCTTCCTCCCCTGCTCCTTTGGGCCCCCTCCTGTTGGCTCCTTCCCCCCTGGCCGGGCCGCAGGGCTGCAGGGCTCCAGCAGTGCCTCGCTCAGTGCTACGGTCTTGCTCATGCTCAGTGCCAGGCTCTCCTTACTGTGTGACCTGGCCGGTGGGGCCGGAGGTGACTTTTTCTGGCTGTATGACTCCAGCATCTCCATATCCACATCTGCTCCAAGCCATTCCTTGTTCTCCGGCATCTGGGTGCTGTTCTGCCTTGTAAGCTTACCAGCATCTCTCGCCGCCCGGCTCTTTGTGAGCTGCCCATCCTCTCCGTTCTGGCACGGTGCAAAGCCCAACACCTGCATGAATCCGTCTCGGGGGCTGTGGGACAGCGGTGCCCCCGCCTCCTGCCTGCTCTGCAGGATGTAATCCATCAGCTCAAAGCTGTCTGACCTGGCAGGGACGCGGGGTTTGCCACCCTCCGTGGAGCAGTCCGGCGCTTTGCTCGCCACCCGCAGCTCCACGCTGCTCTCCGAGTACGAGCGGATCAGTGGGGCTCCCCGCAGGACATCAATCCGATGGAGCCTGGGGCTCGCCGTCACCCCATTCCCTGGGCAGCCCTCCTGCGGTCCGAGCCCCTCATTCTCAGGCTCCCAGTCCTCCTCGGGGCCTTCTTCTGCCTCCTTCAGCAGCCGCCGATACTCGCTCTCCTCCAGCCTGTACACCACCGGCCTCACCGTGCGCCCGCTGCCGGCCCGCCGCTGCCCCACCTGCATCTCATAGACCTTCGGAGGGCTTTCTCCTTCCATCCCCGCAGAGCTCATGGTGGGGCAGTGTGCCCGGATCGTGGCACCCAGGCCCTGCTGGAGAGGCTGTGGGCTGCACTCCTGGCGTGCTACTGCCGAACCTCCCCGGGACGTGGCGCAGTCTGTGCCTCGTGCCTGGCTTGTGTCATCCCGTAAATATCCACAGGACTGCCAGGTGGAGGCTGCCATGCTCAGCGCCTCGCTTCCACCAGGGCTCACTGCCTTCTCCTTGCTCAGTGCTGGCGCCGTGGGGGCTTCTCAACCTCGTGGCTGCCCGCTGGCATGGCACAGCTCCTAGCGCAGGGCCCGGGGTCGCTCCTTGCGCAGTGCCCATCACCGCACCACGTGCTGCCCCATGGTGCTTTATGGGCAGCGCTCCTTTCGCATCCTCCTCCAGGCTCTCTCCTCCTTTCCCCAGCAGTCACAGCTCCTCGCTCCCCTCTGCTCTCAGTGATTTTGGGGTCAGGCCCAACGCCAGGGCAGGGTCACCCTTTAGCAGGAGCGCTGGGTTCACCCCGTAGCTGCTGCCCTCCTGCTGCTCGCTGGGACGCAGCAGTGCTGGCGCAGGGCCCCCAGGAGGGCCGGGCCGGCTGCAGTGAACGCAGGGACGGCTCAGTGCTAAGGGAGTTTCTGTGGCATCATTAACAGCGGGGCTCAACGGCAGCCACGCTCAGAAACAATTTTCCTATAGGAGACTCCAAAGCATAACTTAGCAAAAATCCCTACGGATGTGCTGGGTGCTTCTCAAAACAGTGCTGTGAGCTCAAAAGTTCTTCCCTTCGGATGTGGCCACCGTTGCCAAGCGAGCTCCAGGAGCTCGGCCACGGGGGGAGCGGGTGCCTGGCACTGGGCTCCATCCCAGCGCGTCCCCAGCGCTTTGCCTTTTATGGTGCAGTGCTGCCCTGGGGCGGGATCCCAACGAGGGATGCAGAAAAACTCCCAAATTGGCCCAAAGGGCACTGAGCCGGCGCTGCGCTCCCACTCCTTACAGCCCTTCACAGGGACGTGGCAGAGCATATCAAAATCGTATCAAAAGCAAACTCATCATTTTCTCTCTCCTACAGATAAGAGTCCTCACCCTGAGCTTCGGGCTCATCTCCAGCCCACGGGAGATGCTCAATGGAGGCACAGCACTGCTACCCAGCTCTTCCTGCAGAGCCGGGGCAAGGGGCTAAAAATCTCAGGTCCCACATAAGGATGCGCTGGGGCAGAACACACTGAGAAGTCTCAGCCCCACCGAGTCCTCACGTCACTGCAGATGTGATTTCGCCATAGCAACGTCCTCAACAGGATGCAGCGCCGACCACGGCCAGCATGGCGCTGCCAAAAGTGACGCTCAATCAGAAGAGGAACAAACTCACCTCCACTCCCAGTGCCGCCCCAGTGCACAGCTTCGTGCGTGCAAAGCACTGCCGTGGAGATGCCACGAGCCCAGGGCTTCCTTTCCCCCCCGTGAGCTCTGCACGCACATATCAGCGCCTCGCCCTGCACGCAGCAATTCCAGCCCGCAGCAAACGCGATGCAGAAAACCTCCCCAAAGCACCCGTTTCTGGTGGGGGTTAAGGACTTATTGAGGCACTCAGCACAGTGCGCCAAAGCCAGAGAGCATCTCCAGCCCTGTGCTTTGCTTCCCTGCCAAGGTAAACACTGACATGTTCCTCCTGATGCAGCTCCCAGAGCGAGAGCAGCACCCGGCTCCTCGCAGGCGTGCGGCACCGCTCTCTGTTTGCCTTTAAAGGCAAAAACGCGGTGGGTGCTGGGCAAGGGCTGCCGGCGTGGAGCAGGGCGGAGGTTTTCCTGGGGGGACCCCAGGGCAGCTCCTCGCACCCAGCCCAACAGCTCTGAAAAGAGAAATCCCTGCCTCGTACCCCTTTTTTTCCTCCTTAAAAACCCACAGTCGTGCCCACGCCGTAGCTCAGCTGTGCTCCTGACGCTGCACCCTCGCAGCAGGGCAGGGAGAACGTAACCAAGCACAGTGAGGATACAGCTGCGCCCGTTCTTTCTCCACCTCCAAAAACACCGCCAAGCTTATTTGTAAAAGGGGAAAAAAAAAAAAAAAAGTTTATTTTTCTCACAAGAAGGAACATACAATATACAGAACGTTTGTACAAACAAAAGTAAAAAAAAAAAAGTGCATTATGCATCCCCTACCGTCGACGCACAGTACAAAAGATACGGCTGATTTAAATATAAAACCAGACTTGAGAAATACAATGGAATAAAAAGAACGTCGTTAGCAGAGGGGACAGCGGAGCACTGGACGCGGCACAGCGCCCTCCCCTCGCTCTCCTCCCGCAGCTGCTGAGCCAACCCAATGGGGAGCAGGTGGGAGAACAGGGCCCCGTTTGGGGTCTTCCACTGGGACGGGGATGGGTTTGGGTTGCGGCAGGAGTTTGCTGTGCGCCCCCTGGGCAGCAATGAAATGGGGAAGGGCTGAGAGGGGCTGGAGGAAGTGGCAGCAGTTCAATGCCACCGGATACACCAAAAGCACCAAGAAATGAACAGCAAACAGCAGAGTCCAACAGCTCAGCGTAAATACACAGTATTTGTAAACTAGTCGTAAGGCACTCCATTGTAAAAGAACGATTACGATACGTGGAAAACAAAAGCAAACCATCTACCTTCTCATGCAAACACATCCAAGCCTGTGAGCATCACGGATTGGGCTACAAACCCCCCTGGGATGGCACAGCGCACCTTTCTGATGGCAGTGCCATTGGTGGCACCACCAAGCTCTTGGTGATGGCAGTGGGCATCAGCATCTGTATAAACACGTGTTCTCCCAAGCCCTACAGGAGGCAGAGCCCCACGTGTCTCCTCCAGGGCCCCACATGTAGGAGCTCTGCTTCAAATGATGGTTTGTGGGAGAAATAGGAAAAATGCCCTTAAAATGCATGGGGAATTTAAGACCCTTTAAAAAGGGACATTTATTCACTGATTCCCAGTCCTTACAACTCCTCACACTGCTAGTATAAAAAAGTACAGCCTTGAAAAAGGGTAATTCTGGGCATGTAGGACAGCAAAGCACACAGCTCCCTTTTCTCAAGCCATTGAAGTTTTGATGAACGTGGGCTGAGAATGACAGTTCACAGTCCTGCTTTTCCCTCACCTCAATGAGAGGATCGTTAAGAATGGCTTTGATGGGGCTCTACAGGATTTTAGAGGTTTGGGGCTCACTCTCAGCCTGGGAGTTCCAAGAGCATCTGTTTGCCATCTCAGCCCTGTGAGCTCTGGTCTGACCCCAGCCTGCTCCACACTGCAAATGGAATGCAGGCAGCCGGGCAGCCAGGCGCTGCCCTTCCCCACCAGGTAGGGAATAACTTCACTGTCCTGTGTGCCACCAGCAGCCCAAAAAGGGTCCCCACGACACCAACACAGCATCACACATTGAGAATCACTACGGTGCATGGCCACTCACTGGTTGGTCATCATCACTGAGACATCACAAACCAAGACAACAGCAAAAAACACCCAAAGGGCACAGCACCTCTCCAGCTGAGCACGATGAACCTTCCACAGCAACACAACCTGGATGCACTCCATCACCAACAGGAGACGACGACGATTCACGTGGTCATGCAGCAAAGGTCAACGCCAACGGATCACAGTCGGTACGAACACAGCTTCACACTCCTTCACTTGACATTACAGCAAGAGCACACAGTGCAGGACAGCCCAGCACTGCTCCTCCAGGAGATCACAGCTAACAGTAAGGGAACGCCTTCAGATAACAGTCAGCATGGTGGGAAAAGCCTTTAAAAACCCAAACAAGCCACAATTACAAGTTGGCAGGAACAGAGGTAGCGTTCGTGTCACTGCTTTAAAGGTTTTCCCACAATTGCTTGTTTTAGGAGACATTTCAGTTAAAAAAAAAATTTAAAAAATGAAGTAATGACTAATTGTTTTGCTGAGACTCTCAATTCAGCATTTTATACAGGTAGATGGAAGTATCTATCCATATACAAAATGCATTATTATACTTGGCAAACATATGAGAAACAGCATCCTGCAGGACAACAGGCGGATTCACACACACGGTCCTCTTCTAAGCCATGCAAAACATTTTATTTTTCCCTCGTGCCATCCATGACCCAATTACTTTTTTCTCCCCACTTAAGAGTACAAGGAAGGGAAGAAGAGGTGGCATCAGATGATGGGTGCAAGTCAGATGATTGGTGCAGTGAATAAATGCCTTAGAAAAATAACAAAGAAAAAAAACCAACAACAAATATCCAGCCCCCCGCTCCCCGCACAGAAGGCATCAACTTTTGCCAAGCCAAAGCGGAGTCTTCATGTTCCCAAGTGCCGGCTTGGCTGACATCTTGGAGCCAACATCTGCGCCCCTTGGGGCAGAGGGTGGCTCACAGAGCCCGGAAGACTCGCTGGAAACGGCCTCCCTGGAGCCCGTGATGGTCGACACGTCCACGTCGCTGGACAGGTCCTCGGAAGACAGGTTAAGACACCCCAGCTTGGCAAGAGAGTTGGACCTCTTCAGAGGGGAAGAGACAGTCAAGCCGGCCAGCCGCAGCCGGGTCTCGATCTCCTGAGTCCGCTGCTTCACCAGGCCTGGCTTGCCACGCACACTGTGGATGCTGTCACTGCTGGAGCTGCGCGTCAGATTGGAGCTGCGGGAGGACGAGGGGGTGTAGCAGATGGTCTTCAGGAAGTCCTTGGTGAAGCTGCTGGTGTGTTCCAGCCTGCACAGCATGGGGATGGAGGCTTTCTGAGAGGTCCCCCCATCCAGCACGCGTTTGACCTCCAGCTTCTCCAGGTCGCTTTCAGCATCTCCGGGTTCAGGTGGTGAAGGCCTCAGGAGGGGCACGAGGCCGGGATGCGGAACCAGCTCCTCGCCTTCCTCTGCGATGCTGGGCTCCGTCCTGCCCAGGGCGCTCTCTCGGAGCAGCACTGAGGTGTCTGAGGGCAGGCTCCTCAGCCGCTCCAGCTCTTTGGTGTGCTTCCTGACCAAGCCTGCCTTCTGCAACTGAATAAGGGACTCCTGATGCTGCATCAAGTAACTGTTAGCACTTGGCTTTTCCAAGTCTTTACTGAACAAGTACTTTGGATCCTTGGTAGGTTTGCTATCTTTTCTGGTCAGAGACTCTTCTTTCACCACTTCTGTGCTAAGCAGGCTCTTGTCACAGTGCGAGTTTCTCCTGGGCTGCAGTGTTCTGACAGGGATTTCTGGTGTATCTTTTCCTTTTTCTGAAAAGCCACACTGGTGAGCAACCATTGATTTGCAAGCACCGGCTTCCAAAGCACCGCCTCCTGCCGACAGAGGAAGCAGTGCCTCAGTATTTCTAGTCCCAATTCCCTCCTCCATGCGTGCCCTGCTGAGAAGGTGCTCCCCCAATGGGGGGAGGTGGGAGAGGAGGGCTGGCTGTGTGCAGATGGTGGAGCTGCGGTGTGCAGAGCTGGAGTTCAGCTTCTCACACTGTTCCCCAAAAGAGTCCGGAGCCAGGCTGCCCGAGGAGTACATGCAGTCAGCACAGGACTGGTAGGAAGGCTTGACTTTACTGAGGATCCCAAACACAGCATCATGCTGCAAGAAAGAAAACAAGGACAAATCAATGGGCACAGAACAGTGAGAGGCAAAGGTCATGAGATCTACGCAGCTTTGAAAGGCAGCCCGCTGCCCTGTCTCTTCATGCCCTGCAGCAGGAACAAGAACTCCCAGTGGAAGGACACCTACCGTCTCAAGTGATGGTCAAGCAAGCAAGCTGCCCAGAGCAGTTTACAGTGCACTGATGTGCGTGCTCTGTCTGGCATCTATATCCATAGCTTGGGCAAGCAAAGCCATGTTCAGAAGCACTTTGAAAAGGAAGAAGCTCATCATGGAACAGAAGACTTTATCCAAGTCAAATGGGACTGCGCTATGAAGATGAGTAGTTCTGCTTGCAGTAGTCAGCCATGCTAATCACCTACACATCAGATCCATACGCACCTCAAAATCCTCTGGGCAACTCCTTTTGCTGTTGTTGTTATTCAAGTTCTCCCTATTAAGCCTGCTCTCCTCCTTGTGCATGGACAACCGCCGCTTCCACTTCTCCACCGGGTTTTCCTCCCTGATACCATCCTCCCCTGCTTCCACGGCGCCCAGCACCATCCTCGCCTTCCGAGGGCTGAACTCTCGTTTCTTCTTCACCTCCTTGTCACAGAAGCTGCTCAGCTCTGCCAGAGGCTCTGCTGGCTCCAGGCCTTTGGCCATCTCCGGAGGCACAGCTGGAGGCTGCCTCGCCAGCGAGGCCGCACGCTCTGTGAGCGCATCCCGTTCCAGCTGCTCCACGTGGCAAAAGCTCCCCCTGTCCCCAGGCACCTTGTTCTCCAGCAGCGTGTCCGAGAGGCGGCGGAAGCAGTAATTGAAGCCCACGGGCAGCTCGGTGCCTGCTCGGTTGTCCAGGTACGCTGACTGCGATGGGGTGTCCAGGTCAGCCAGCCGGTTTTCAAGGTCGATGTCCAAGCTCTCAAGTAAGAAGTCAGCTGACCCTGCGGTGCCATCTGTGCTCTGGGGGAGGTTGCTCTCTGCCTGCTGCTTCCACAGCTTGTTGTGGCGTTGCTTGCTGGAGGAAGGACAGAGATATAAGTGAGCACAGAGGAGCAGCTGCTGATGGCAAGCTGAAAGCGCTCAGCTCCAGGAGCGTCCCTCCCTCTCTATGCACAGAGCAGATTCACAACTCAGAACAGAATGATTGGCAGGTCCAGCCCCACCAGGGCAAAGCCATCCTGAGCACTGAAGGAGTTTGCCCACTGCACCTGCTCCAGCATCTCTTTGGCCCAGCAGACTCATAGCATGGCCCTGCACTGCAAACATGATGGGAACAGAGACTTCTGCCAGCATCAAATGCTCTGAACCAACATCTCTGCACGTTTCATGGCACAGCTTTTGCTGAACCAGAGTGGAAAATTTTCCTTCTCTACCTCAGCTAGAGCAGAGGCCAAGTGGAGTGTGGAGCATACAGAAACCCTTATTAGATACCACAGCCTTTGCAACGACAAAGCCTCATGATTGGCATGGTCACCCAGAACGCTCCAACACTGCCCAAGCTCAGTTCTGCCTCATAAAACAAGAACAATGTTTTGCTGAACAGCCTGGCTGCTGAGAAACACCAACACAAGCACAGAGAAACACTCAATGAATTACACCAGAGCTGAAGACAGCTAATTTCCATCTGGGATGGGCTGGCAGAGAAAAGGTTTAGAAAAGTGCAGTTAGCCCAGGCTCCTGCTTCTGCCCTTCCAAAGAGCCCCCCTGCACGGTGGTGTGGCCTTCAGACTGCAGCACCACACACGCTGTCACTGTCTTTGTTGTGTTCATTGCAAGAAGGGTTGATTGCCTGAACAGAAATCCCTGGACCTCAGTGTTTGCTGATATACTGAAACTCTAAAGGTGCTGCCAACAGTGAGGTCCTTTGATTTCCTGCAGATCACCTTCCCATTCATTCTGTCACCTTACCTTGCATCTAAAATGCCTTCATACTCCAGAAGCTGTCTCATGAAGCCTGCATTTGGCCTTGCAATGCTGCGTTTCTGCTTCACGTAATTATAGGCCTTTTCCAGTGACCAGCCAAACTCTTTCATTGCATAAGCTATCACAGTGGACGCAGACCGGCTCACGCCCATTTTGCAGTGCACCAGGCACTTGGAGTGATTCTTCCTGAAGAAAGATCAAGAAAACACCTCTCTAATCTTTCTGCTTATCCTATGTGGTGTTGACATTTTAAATGGTGGAGGGGCAGTACTTTGTCCTGCTAACCACTCTAGCACCACAGCTCTGTAGGTCATGAATGTTTTAGACCAAGATGCCCACGAGAAGAATTCTCCTCCAGAAAAGGCAGGAGGTGGGAAGGCCAGTCTCAGCCATGCTGTCACATCAGAGGCCACCACGAAGCCTCCCACCCACTTGCCCAATGCTTTGGGCACAAGGATAAGCAGCAGCAGCCTGCATGTGACAGCAGCAGGGTGTGATGGGCTCTGCAACCATCTCTTGGGCTCATTCAACAAGGACACACGTTGGAATATTTCCAGAACATCTCAAGTAGAGGAAATGCTCTCGTTTCCTTTTAGAAGCAAAACAAAATAATTACTATTATTTAAAAAAAAAAAAAAACCAAAACCCATGGGTTAGAAATGGGTTAAAACCAGCACAGGAAGACACAAAGTACACGGAAGCTCCAGGGACACAGAACTCCTGGCAGGAGATGTAACACAAAGCCCAGCTGCCACCTCCAGCTGCAGAGCTGGCTGGAGCACGTGGGGCAGTGTCACCTCCTCCAGACCTCAGGCAGCTTCTGCTGTGGCTTGGATTGGATGCACTCTGCTTGGACGCACTCTCACATCAAGCCACGTCCCCCAGCCCACTTACTTGGCCTTGTTTATGAAATGATACGCCTCGTTCCAGTGAGCCAGGAGGTCAGTCGTCTCCTCATCATACACCCGGATGTTGTGATAAGCAAACAAGCCAGGGAAAAAGTTATCAATTTCCCTGGTCACGTTCAAAATGTAGTCGATGCTGCGGAGAACAAAAAGAAAAATAGAGTTGAACTGCCACGGCCAGGAAAAGGAAACTGATGCACGTTGTGAATCTCCTGATTCCTGCCAAGCACTACAGCAGGGTTTACGGTGTCTCTAGGGAGAATGAAGGCCCGTATTGATTTACTATTTCATATCATTCAGATAAATCAAGGCTGCAGGATATTTGTTTCAGTTTGCCCAGCTTTGACTTCTAGGCACCGCATGTCAAGATGCCCTCATCATAGATCAGAAGCACTGACACGCTGGTTGATCCACTTGCTCAAAGATGTTCAGACATCTGTTCCCAAGGATTCCAAATTAAACATTTTTAGTCATGCTGTTGAGCAACAATTTTCAGTTTCTCACATCAGAGGTGGTGCATGCCTTGGGAAAACAGCAAATATTATACATAAAATTCTCACTCATCTAAAAAGCCTGAAAATAAATCAAGCCAAGAAGTGGTGTGGTGATGACAGTGTGGTGAAAGACAGCCCTGCAGCTGCCTGTCTGGGCAGGTGAGGTGGGGATTGCTCATCCACAGCAAATTCTGCTCCATTTAGATGGAGTTTTTCCTGAACGCTGCACTGTAACATTCGCTCTTCTGCAGCCTGCAGGAATTTACACCTGACATCTGCTTCATACCTGGCTGCTACACACTGGGAGGGTGGTTAAGAGGTCTTGCAGTTTTGTTATTCCCACTTCATATGTGAATATGTGATGGAAACAAGACAGGAAAGCTTTCCTGCCCGAAGTCTTGATATCAGTTACCCACATTGCTGGGAACTCTTCCCTACCATCTACAAATGCCACATGGCATCTCAAGAGACCTGACTCACAGCCTGGAATGTTCAGTACTCACCCTGAGCCCTGCAGCTCCTCCAGGTTAGAGGCATTCCACTCCGACCCCTGCAACAGTCGCACAGATAAAACATCTTTCAAAGGAGCTTCCCCATTTCTAAGATTCTGAACTGCCCCAGTCTCAGCACTACTCCTCAGCTGCCAACTGTAATATTGCTAATGGTTTCTAAAGAGCACAATTAGTACCACCAGCTTCAGACTGTTGTGAAGAACCGTCAGATGCTGCCTGAATCATTCTAGCAGCCAGACCAGGCTTATCCTAACAGCCTCGAATTCAGGCATAAGGAAGTTCCTCTGAAATCAGAAGAACTGTGGATAAAAAGTAGTAAGGGCTGTACAGCAAGAAATCCTGTAAGATGCAAGAGTCAGGGGTAAGTTCAATCCCAGATCACTGTGCCCTGGCCATTCTGGACTTTTAACCACTGTGATCATAAGTACATATATATATATGAGGAGCATGAGGCAAATCCTGAAAGTTCTAGAGGTGGCTACACTGGATCTCACTGTATCCACATAACAGAAAGCTAAATTGGATTTTAAAAAGCAGGATTTGCCCTCAGACATCAGCACTTCCTCTGACTCTCTCCAGGAAAAAAAAAACCAGAAGTGACCCCAGCATAACAGGCACAAATGTGCTCATCTCAAGCAAGTCTTTGTTCCAGATGGCAGCGTCTGGTTTTGCCTGGAGTTCCATCTAGTGGCAAAACATTACATAGAATACACATCTTTCTTTGCTTCTGCTTAAAGTTGAAGGGCACAGCACCTTCATCCAGCCTTCCTCTTCATACAGCTTTGGCCACGCACGCAGAACTTGATACCAAATGCAGATCCCCACAGCCCAGTGACCCATCAGGTCACTCCCACTGAGCCTTCAGCTCTGCTAGAGCTCCCAACAGGGCAACTCACCAGATACAAGTGATCAAAAATCAGAGAGGGTTTGTCCATCTGACCCAGGATAAGCAGCATTTCATTGTCTATGAATTCCTTGAATTCTTTCAAGTTGCAATTCATGTGTTTTTCCAGCTCATTCCGGATCTGCAGAGCAGAAAACAAAGGATGCCACCTAGAATCGTCTCTGTTCAATAGCAACATTTACTGGCACTCTTTCACAAAGCACTTTTTATGTACTTCATTAAAGACAGCAGGAGGGATTCAGGCTTTTGGAGACAAAGAATCTCACTACGTGGCATCTTAGGCCCCCATGTTTGAGATCTGTGAAGAAGACTTCAGATAACATCCAAGTAAAACACACATATATCATGCACCTCCTTCCAAAAAATAACTTGAGATGAACAAGACCCAGGAGAGCAACTAACAAACATGAAACTCAAAACCCAAACCTACACAGAACTATTGCCATTTGCTCCGAGTACATCTGCACTGTGTCCCTGTGGGACAGATCCAAACTCGTTTTAGCCTTGACTTGTGACTCTTCATCCATAGACACAGCAGCAAGGTCTCACCAGTAAGTCTCTCTGACATTGCTCAGGAACAAAGAAAACAGAATCTTAAAGTGAAGCCAACAAGGAGAAAGGAAAGCACTGCTTCTTAGCACACTCTGTGTCCAAAAACAAGTGAAGATCAGCATGCTCCTCTAGAACAGCCATGTGTACTCACAGCTGGGAGGACACAAAGCCACTAACTGCAACTTTTGAGGGAGCTATCTTTGCTTACAGCACCATGAGGAATAAGTGGCTCCAAATTCACTGCTTGGACATGCCCTTAAGTGCTGCAAGTTGGAATGCAGTATCACCTCTGATGCCACTCTGGCTTGTTACTAAGATCTTGAAAAACGTGCTCCAACCTTGGCATTACTCTGTTTTACAACTAGGGAAAGAGGTGCAGCAAACCCAAAAAGCAGAACCTTTGAGGATCAGTTGGCAATACACTCAAAAGTCAATGGCACCTCATCATACAATGTCTCTTTGTCAGTATAACATTCTCTGGAAAAGGAGTCTAGCAGGAAGAATAATGAGGAGAAGTTTTTCTATTTACCTCCTTGGAAGTCACATTTTCCAGGTCTTTGCTCATCATGATGCTCCGGAGCTTGGCTTTAATCAGGCGTTCTGTCCGTTCCCTTTCAGTTGGCCTGGAAAGGAAGAGGGAGAGGATGTCTCCAAACCAGCAGTAAACACTGCTGAGACAATGCAACAGACACACAGCACAGAGCACTGGTGGGAAGGACTTGCATTGAAAGCATCTCGACCAGGAAAATGGAAGAGAAACATTTGAAGGCATTTAAAGTAGAGAAAGGAAATGAACTGCCAGAAGAACAAAAGAAACAAAAAAGGGGATTTCTCTTGTGAACCAAGTCAACTTTTCATAATAAAACTGAGAACTGACTTGTCAACAAACAGAGCTGGAGAGTCGGGGCGGGTGGACTCCAGGTCCTGCATGGCATTCCACTCATTGATGCAGCTCTGGTCAGAGCTGATGCAGCTTTCATAGTACGTGGCCCAGACCAAGGCCATCCCACCTGGGAAGTAGTTGTACCTTCTGGCAACCTCACAGGCTTTATGGAGGATTTGTAGAGCAGACCTGCAGGATTGGGAACAAAATTGTGCAGGCATAAATACACACACATCAGGATTAAGAGATTTTCATAGAAGACTTTTGGCACTGTGTTGCAGTCACTTTCTGAGAGCTGCAGCTTTACTGTATCAGAGTTCAGAGGAGCATCTTGAAGGTTTTCTTAAGAGCCCATCTGAGATGGAGGCTCACATCTCCTCATCAATTGGCAAGCACGAGGCACAGCCACTCCGGGACCTAATCATTAGCTAACTTGTAAAGTCAGACCAAAGGAAAACAAAAGAACATGGACAATTTTCAAACCACCTTCAGCAAGGAATCAAATACATATTTACAGCATTCTTGGCCCCGACACGCTCCAGGGACAGGACCCAGATTGGGTCATTTGTTTTTGTAAATCTTAGCATTACTTTTTCTTTCCTCCCTTCCCTCCTCCATTATTTTTTTTTTAAGGCCCTGCTCTGCTCTGAAGATGTCACTGTAGTGAACATATTAACCACATCTAAGGCTGCCAACAGGAGGGGCTGAGTTCAAAAAAATGACAGGATCAAGTTTGGTTTGTTTCTGTACCAAACCATCCCTGACATTCTCTACACCTTTATCTTGTCCCTACCAGCTATGACAAGCACAGGAGTTTCCTGAGGCTCCACAAAGAACTCAAGGAGAGGCATCTGCTCTGTTTGGGGCAGGATAAAGCCTCTTCAAGAAGGCATTTGCTGGCACAGCTGCTGCTGATTCAATCGTCTCTGCTTCAGCGTTTTGGAATCCCTGCACATGGGAGGGGTGACAGGAGCTGAAAGGTGAGCATGATTGCGGAGTGGCACAGAAAGTTTCCATGCAGAAGCAGCCCCAGCCTGGCCCCAGGAATGGGGCAGAGTTGGAAATGCCATCAATTTGGCAATGGGTCACAAGACTCCCTCATACTAGGGAGGTTATGCATGGAGAGGAAAGACCGGCTTGGCACCCTGATGAATTCACACTGGGCTTTCATGTCCATACATCTCATCAGTGCCATTTCCCATTGCCCTCATGTCACAGAGCACACAGCTGCAGCAGAAGATGCTGGCTTTGGATCAGTGCTCCCAGAGCCCCTTTAAACATTGCTGCCAGCTGACACAGGGAAGCAGCATCTCTGCTGCAGCTCGCTGAATATCAGCTATGGAAAACGCTAAAATGCAATTTGTTTGTTGCTAATTTATTCATAGAAATTACAGCCTCTTTCTCAATAAAGCTAATTAGCACACATACCACATGGCTTGCACCGACACTGGCTTGAAGATGTGCATTCTCCCAGCAGTGCTCACACTGAAGCCACTAAGAGAGAAGGGGGGAAAAAGTCACAAACTGCACTTCTCTGCTCTCAGGCCGCTGCGAGTCAGCTCTAGGAGCACCCACAATCAAAAGGAATAAGGGATGAGAATTTCCATCACCCATTTTCCATTATCCCCCCAAAGAAAAGCAACAAGTGGACACTTGCCATACAGCACCAGCAATGGGAGCTCCCTGAATTAAAGGACTGCAGCCATGAATCTGAAATTGGGACTTAATTTGTATGGTGACAGAGCATCCCTCCCACAGCAGCCCCAGAAGGGAAGGCCACTCACATCCATGCTTTCAATGGGGATTCTTACCCATCGCCATCAAGATGGATCTTAGTATCACTCCACAGACGAAGAACCATTCCTATAGTGCAGCTTTTACTGGAAGAGAAATGTTATGGATGTTAAATATAGGCCACAATGCAGTCATGCCAATATCCTCAATTATTAATAGTCTTTAATTTTTAAAATCCTCTAGCCTTGCTTTAGTAATTCCTCATATCATCTTCAGCTATTTAATGCGTAGCACATAAGGAGATGGACAACTACAGTGTAAAGGTCTTCTCTGATACCAACTGGAGAACCAACAGCACAGAATCAAGAGTCAGAACCACCATAGCTGCCAGAATGCACTGCAGTATTTGTCTCATCACCTCTCCTCCTCTCTCACCTTCATAAGCTCAGTGCAAGGAACATCCCTAACAGGACAGAAGAGCAGGATATAATCTCTGAAAGCAGAGATTCAGCTTTCAGCAAATGCTGGCAGATGCTTTCCTTTCTGCCCTTTGCAGAGAGGATCCTGGGGGCCTTTCAAAGGTTTGTGTGCTTGGTTCTCACTTCATCGCTTTGGCTGATAGAAAAGAAAAAAAAGCATTTTATGGCTGTACCTAACCCAGAAGAACACTTCTATTTCAAAGATGCAATTTGGCAAGGAAACTACTATAATTGGGGGCCAGCAACTTTCAACCACTAAATAATTCAGTTGCTGAGATATTAAAGTTTTAAAGGAAATCAGGACGCATCCAACAACCAGCAGCAAGAACTCAGGACTGTTTTGGTTTCTTTTATTCTATTATTTTTAAAGCCTTCAGCCACTGCCTATAGTGAATCAAATGCTATTACAAAGCCAGTCTGAACTCACACATAGACAACATACACTCTCGAGCTCTGTGAGAAAGTTTCTTATTAAGCACACATACAAGGAATAAAGCCCACAAAAGCCCGATCAGCCCAACTCTCAGCAGCCAGCACACTCACAGCTGAGAAGTGCCATTTCAGCCTCATCATGGAGCCTTGGAGTCCCTCAACGAGTCATTAATGCCAACAGACTTCTTTATGCATGACACTTTCCCTTAATTAACAAATCCCTCCGTTTTCAGAGGCAACTGAATGAACCAGCAGAACCTCGCAGTTGGGATGGATGTGCCATTACTTTTCCATCTCTCCTCTTGTTTCACACCAATCACCTCCAGGAGGAAATCACTGGATGGTCACCTTGGATTTGGAGAAGACAAGGCCAATGCTGCCTGCTGTTGCAGATGTGCCAGGAAGGAATATAATGTTGGAATTTCCTCCCTAACACCAACAGCAGTAATTTAGAGCAGACACAGAAGCAGCACCAAAGCCAAGTCAATAATCTCCTTAGGAAGGCACTGCTAGGAGTTCACCAACAGTACTCAGCAGTGCAAAAGCTCTCCCTTCCCACTTCAATCCACAGAGGTTTAACCAGACAAAAACACAAAGCCCCACTGGCTGTGTCAGCTCAGCATGGCAGCATGCTCAATCTACCCAGGGAACAGAAACAAATCTGGAAGTCTGCCTTCTAACTCTAGCTCTGCCAAAGCAGCCTCACCTATTCCAGCCAAGAGCTGTTCTTGGTTTCCTCACCTACAACTGGAATTATGCGAGAAGGTCTGCAGCAACGTTTTATTTTCATTTCAAAACATTCTGTGCTCTTATCAGTCAGACAAAAGGAACAGCTCATTACTAACACATTTGTTTGTTGGTTTTGGAGGTACTTCTGCACTATTGTTGTTGATACTATTTGGCAACTAACCTACCTGAAACAGCTCCATTGCATCATGCCACGAACAGACTTGAAGTCTGATGGAGCAAATAAGTTCCACTTCAGGAAACATTTCCACAGAAGCATTTTGTTGTGAGGAGAAAGCAAGCTACCACAAATGAGTTAGATACCACAGCCCTCCAGATGGATTACAAGTGAATGCTTTGCCCACAGCTGCATAGAGTGCCTAGAGATTCTAAGGAGACTGAAAGTTCTCTGGAACAAAAAGCGCTCTCACAACGGTCAGAAGAATTAACAACTATGTCTCTTCTTTTGCTGGAGTACATGAAAATTAACTGCTTGGGGACAGTTGTTGACAAGCTTTCCAGAGAAGGCAGCCTGCCTTTGCCCTAGACATACCTCTCCTTGCTGGAAAAATCCACACCCAGCAAAATATTCTCCTCCGTGTCCTGCCTCCCGTTGCTGTACACAACCACCATGTACCGCACTCTGTCCGTCCATACGCTTTCCAAACGGACAGCCTAGGAACAACAACAAAAAGACATCAAGCCCTGCACACCAGCTTTTGGATAATCTGCACTTCCATTGCTGCCTAATATTTTACAGGTGTAATTGTGCCTCAAAGCTTTATTCAGCTGCAGGATGAGAGACAATGGGAGAGGTAGTCCCTCATCCAAGCAAGGCCAGTTTGTCTTGGAATCAGGAGAGGATTAGAGATAAGAGCAGTCCAGATGACCTGTCCCACGCTGCAGAAGCATTACCAAATACCATCTGAAGGTTTCCTCTGAAGATGTTCAACTTGAAAGCAGGTAGAAGTACTGATTGTGCACTAAGCTGGAGAACCTCAGAGGCTCTTCCACACTGACAAGCCTTCACTGAAACATTCTATCTAGCCATTCTAGATAGGTAATTAACACAGATTCAACTCGTAACCTGGATATAAGGATCAGCCCCAAAGTTGCATACGGGGAAGCATGGTGGGGCTGGCAACCAAGTGCAGCAGTCTGAAGCTAACCATGAATTTGCCAATGCTTTCTGTGACCCTGTAGAGATCTGGTTCAAACTCCTCCAACAGAAAGAAGGGCAGGAAAATGCACCTGTTCTTACCAGTTTGATTCTATCCTCACAGCGAAGGAGGTTGATCATCACCTGGAGGTGCTGGGGCAAATCACCTGCAGTGAGAGCAGAGACAACATCAGAAAAGGTCATCTGAACATAAGCAGCTTCTGAGGAGGAAGGGCTGCAGGAGTGGCTCTATTCAGGTGATGCATCCCTTCTGCAACAAATAAAGATCTGCTCATGCAACTACTCCAAAGCAGTGGGTATATTTCTGCTCAGCAAAAGGAACAAAGAATCTACAAGAAAACAAACCAAGTTCACATCTAATAACTTGGTAACACACTCATAACTTTCCATAAAAGATAAAATTCTTTCTGTAGGATGTTTGCTGGGTATACCAAATTGCTGACAATTGAAGAAACCCAAAGCCACGCTTGGCATTCAAACAGCCTCTTTGTGCTTGGAGTGTTTACTAAGCAGCAGGCACACAGTACCACACTGTGCCTTTCCCACATGCTTCTGCACTCAAAATGCCCTGATGAGCTTAATTCTTCTTGCCCCTTAACCACTTATTACAAAACCATCAATGACAGAAGGCATAAAAATACAGGATGAGTGGGATCCAACTTCCTTAAACCCCGTCTGCTTATCAGTCCTTACAGACCTTCACCACACAACTCTCCTCCCACCATTTTGGAACACTGGAGTGTGCCTGGAGGAAGGACAAGCTGTTCTCAAACCATGAGAAATGCCCACAGGCCAGATTTAGATTGGTTAACTGAAAAGGGGATTTCCTGAAACCAGAAAAGGGGGTGCAAGGAGATAAGAAAGGGGTGTTTGTCCAGAGGCTGAAATCCCACTGAAAGCGTACCTCACTTTTGAGAAGTAGCACTGAACAAAACCAGCAACAGGTGGTTTAAAAATAATAATAATAATAATAATAATAATAATAATAATAATAATAAAAAGAAAGATGCTGTCATATGAAGTCCCAAGCTTCAGACTGTGGGAGGCTGGGAGAGCACTCAGGAGCAACGGCCCTGACACACTGAATCAGGAGCTCAGTAACCACAGAAGGGGTGCTGGAGCCGTATGACTCAACCCATTGCATTTTCCTCCCCACAGGCCAAAGGTGAAGGCAAAGATCAAACTACTGAAGCAGAAACAAGTGACATTTCTTTACTGCAGGCTGCAGAAAATAGGGACACACATACAGCACAGACTCTGGCTTAGAGGGCTTTCCTGGCTACAGAATGCCACAATGTCTGCAGAGAATAAACTTCTGCTCCAGATACAATTCCAAGCGGATGACAAAAGTTTAAACAAAGACAAGATCACCATATGTTCCCATTCATGTCAAGTGGACTGAAAACCTGCTTTTCCCCAGCAGGTTGTACAAAACCCCCTGTGACAGAGGAGCCAACCACCACCACACCTGCTGTTGGGCTGCCAGTGTGGAGGAGAGGAGTGGGGAAGAAAGAGGGAAAGGAGCATCAGGCCATGCTTTAATCCATACCTGCATGTTTGTGAGGATGCTGGAGACTTCGCTGGCCCTGGGAGCTGTTTCCTTGTTGCAAGAAGAGGGCTGCTCCTTTCACCATGAAAAAGCTCTCGCTTAGGCTGGAAAACAAAGGACACAGGAAGTCAGCTCAAAGGAAACAGCAGCAAAACGTGTGCTCCAGTCAATGTGCCTGGAGAAGGAAGGACTTGTACTCATTAAAACACAGCAGGATTTGCCACAAGAAGCTGCTCCCAAAGGTAGATTCTGCCACTTGCAAGGCACGGGTCCAGGATTATTCATGAAGAATGGTGTCATTTTCCACCAACACTTTATTTCTTGGCCATAGCAGAATATGCTTGCCTGAGCTGTCATGGACTGAAAATATGACTTTATCACTTGATTATCAAATTCTGCAACTTAAAAACAGTAGAGGGTAAGAATTCCTACAGGCATAGACCTGTAAATAACTCCAGATCATCTCTTGAGTCAATCAGTCCCTATTAATTTCAGTTCTTGAGATTTCTTTGGAATGCAGAAACAAGAACACAGAGCTATAAATCACAGATTTACAGGGCAGGGAGGGAAGGTGAAAAACCTGCACAACACAGCAGAATGAAATGAAACTTCGGGGCGAAAAGCAACAGGCACAGCAGCAAAGGCATTTCTCTGCTGTGCTGAGACACAACTGACCTGGGAAACAGTGCTGATAAGAAGGGAGGTCACAGCGTAAGCACACACAAAGCTGCATTCCCAGATCAAATGAAACATGGCTAATGAGAAAGCCAATCAAAACCAGCAGTTAGAGCAAGGAGCAGCACAAGCCTAATTACACAGTCCTGTAATGCACTGCGAGCATTTCAGAAACAGACAAGGACAGAAGTGGTAAAGTTGGTGTTTCCCACAGGGCTGGAAATGAACATCTCCTAAGCCACGTTTTAGTTGCCACAGTAACTGCTTACCTTGCACTTCCTACCCCACTCCAAACATCAGGCAGGAGCATCACAAGAGACATTCCTTGCTACAGAGCCCAACTTTCTGCCATCCCACACTTCCCAACATAGACAGCTGTTTGTTACTGGCTGCTATCAACTAAATATAAAAGCTCCACTATGAGGCTGTGCGCCACCAGAGTTACTTATGCTACAGAAAATGATCCCATAGCAGCTGCTGCTCCCACTGCTCGTCTGTTCTGTGCTCTGTCCCTGAGGTCTTTGCCCCTGGCTAGCAGTGAGCAGTGTGGTAAAGAGCCATCAATTCAAGCCTTCCCAGCTCCTGCTCCAAGTCAGGTCTTCCCTCCCACAAAGACAGAGCCAAGGTTTGCAGTTGCTGCCTGAATTTACAGCTTTCTTCAAGGCGCAAAGCTGCCAGAAAAGTTGGACTGCGTTTACATTCGAGACTTCAGTCCCCCCTAAAAAGCAACCTAAATTCATAGCACAAGCTTCAGGCTCCCTCAGCCCCATCTCAGACCAACAAGCTGTCGGCAGGACAATCGCACTGCGATGAGAACAAAGCTCTCCCCATTTCTGCTCCCACAGCACTCACCCCTGGCTCACCGGGAGCTCCCAGCGATGGCCCCGCAGCCCTCACCACCAGCACCCACCAACAGCAAGAATCCCTGCAGGCAGGCACTTGGTCCATCCCATAAGCAAGGCAGGAAGAGCCCTGTTTCCTTCTTACTCCAGATCTAACAGGAAAGCATTAAAAAAAAAAAAAAAAAAGGACAGAAGTGACATCAAAGCTGCGACACCAACACAATGTATAGGATGTTCACTAGATTGCAGCCTCGTGCATACCCAGCTGGTTTATCAGCAAGAGGAAAGGAATGGTTAGATAACATGCAGCTCCTAATGCTCTCGTTCACAGCAGGCAGGAAACCTTCACAATAAGGCAGAACGTTCCCAGTCAGAGAGCTGTGCTGGGGGAGCAGAAGTGCCCGCAGGCAGAGGTTGACACACACTGCACACGTTTTGCCACCAGGTATTTATCTGCATGGCAATGAACTGAAGAAGTGATTGAGAGCAAAATTTCTGTTCTAGCTGAAAGTGTTCTAGCTTAAATGCTTGCGCCTCCATCTGCACGAAGCACAGTGCTGAGTAAGTCAGCTTGTGCTCCCCAGCACTGCAATTTCCCCCCAGCTGCTCTTGGATGCACCGGCTCAGTGCTGCACAACAGCCACCATGAGTTGTCCTGGAACACTGAAATGGTGAGGTTACCCAATGCTGACCCTTAACTCTGCTCCAGGAACACTTCGCCCTCAGCCACTCCATGCGAATCCTCTAATAGCTAACAAAATAAAAGTGAGAAAAAGGCATGACGTGACGTCCCATGACATCCCAACCCAGCGTTCCAGCACTCTGAAATCCTGCAATCCCAGTAAACATCCAAATTCCAGCTTTTTTTTTTTTTTTAAATCTCCCCAAAAGCCAAAAAAAAAGTCCCATCGTTACAGAGCCCCCAGCTCCCTCCCCAGCAGCAGTGCTAAATGCCTTAGCAAGCAGCGTTTGTTAGCGACATAAATACGAGTGGTTTATACATACTAATTTGGACTGGTTTTCTTTGAACAGCAGAAGCATTGTGCTGGCCCAAGAGTCAGGCAGAAGTCAGTAAATTCAAAAAGATTCATAACTAGCTGTAAAACTCACATCCTTTTGCTTCTAAACCCATACAAAAAGAAAAAGAAAAGAAAGAAAAGAAAAGGTCGGTCGTATATTCTGTGCAGAGCAATCGCATCTGTTGATGCTACCCAGGAACTGGATGACTTCTACAGAACACTGTGTCTTCCACTGATATCCTGGCTTGAAAAAGCACTTGTCCTAACATATCCTGATGAAAGAAGGCCTTTCAGGAGGGGAAAAAAACAGCTGAAGCTCGTCTAATCACTTCCCTCCTACAGACTGGTGCGAGCTGTTTGTTTCCTCCCCTTGCTCACAGAGCAATGCAGGGCAGGACGAGGTGAAAAGCACTGCACTGATGCTTACTTTCCATATTGCCCAGTGCCTTCCTGATCTTTACATTTAAAGCCCTGTAATAGAATGTCTGTGTGGCAAAGGCATCGCAGTCAGATCAGGACACTTCCTCGCTTACGGTGTGGCCATGTGCTGGTGTGCTGCTGAACAAGAACCTCTTTCAGGTGGTTTGCAATTCCTCTGTCAGGGACTGCCTGTAACCAAATTCAATGAGGACTGATTTCTTACCGATCCCTGGTTAATTCCTTCACCACAGTAACACCAGTCCCCCCAGAGGAAGAAGCAGCTTTCTGTTCCTTTTTCGCCCTGCCCCATTGGCACACACAGCACAACCCACCGATTTGCTGGATGCCCTCCCAGAAATCCCAACCAGCATCACTGTTTTCCAGCAGCCCCTTTTGGCTCTCAAAGAAACACTGAGCCCAGGGATTTTGCTGTGGCATGGGATCTGGGCGCTCCAGAAGGGCTGCACAGCATCTCCTTATCAAATGATCTCAGTGGAGCACATCAGCCCCTTAAGAGGGGTAAAACCTACACTTACAGGCACCTGGGAGCTCCAAGTGTCAGCAGAAGGATGCTGACAGAACAGCTGCATTTCTTTGCTGGCCATAAACCAGAGGTCCTGCTGTGCCTGGAGCTCTGCAAGGAGAGGATGGTTCTTGACTACAGCACCTCTTTGCTCTGTCCGCTGGCTCCACGCTGCTCAGCTTTAAAAGGAAATATTTCTTCCCCTTTGGGAAAGCTCCAGAAGAACGTGGCTGTAACGCACATCAATTACACTTCAAGTTGCTTCAGCACACAATAGGCAGTGGCTCATAATCATTTCAAAACACTGTTCCCCAAGTCTGCAAAGGCAAACAAGCAGTGCGCAGTCATTCTCCATCCTCAGCAGTGCCCACACTGCGTGCCCTGCAGGGTGCTGTGCTCCAGCAAAGCTCTGCAATGGAGCCTTGCTAGGCACAGGGCCATGCCATGCTCTCCTGTCACTAGATGTTTGTCAAATTAAGTCTCTTAATTTCTCCCTTGTTAACAGAATGACACACACAAGTGGCATGAGGGCAGAGGAAGGCATTAGTCCATTGGGGCTGAGCTGGAGCTCTCTGGGGACAAAGGCTGCTTCCAGGCTTCAGCAGCCACACCGAAATAACACCAGCTACACTGCAAAGGAGCACATCAAACAGAAAGGAAACTCTGGGAAGAGAAAGAGCAGGAAAAATCCCAACCCCACCACAGCAAAGGTTGTCCTACAACAAAGTAGAGATCTGTGACATGTTGATGAACTGACCTGAGATGGGAACTGCAGGCATCTAACCACCTCCTGACGTGCACTGCTGAGGCAGCTGCCTATAGGGTAACTAGGGAAAATGTTTGCTTTCTCAAATAGTATTTTATTACCCAAAAATGTGAGGCAGGAAGGTTCTTTCCATATTTGTGGCTACATTAGGGTGTGACTCTGATGGGTTATAAGAAGCCATCACTCTAAGCTGAAGACATGGAGTTGACCAAATATCAGACAAGGCGCTCCAAGAAGAAACCCAAATCATCAGAACCAAAAACATCAGCTGCAAATCGCAGCACAGCCCAGAGCTCATCCCCATCATCCCCACAGAGCCAGGGTATCCCGCATCCATCCCATCCAAGGAATGGTAAGGAAGGCAGAAGACTCAGCAGGGCTGGTGTTTTTAGGGCTGTGGAGACACAAGGAGTCTGAGCATGCATTGTTTGGCTGAAGGCGTGGGCCACATTCACAGCACAAGAATGCTGAGAAGGGCTGGAGACACTGCAGGCCATTCACAGCACCAGATACTAACTCTCCTCCGGCACAAAGAGGAAAAAGAAAAACGAAATCAATCTTGGAGCCCACAAAAGCTGATTTCCTAAGATAACTAGATTGCTTCCAGCCACTCCTGCTCACTCCATGCAGCCTTCAGTCCTGCTCTGTGAAGACAGTGGGGACAGGAGAGGACATGGCAGCTCCATCCCCACTCCATAGCTTTGTGCTACTCCTGCCCAGCTCCATCCCAGCACCATACTGGCACGGAGCAAGACCCAGATAACAGCTGGAGCCCTGCCTGAGAGAGGTGCAGGAAGAGGGAAGTGAACACAACTCCCCATTTCAGCAGAGACTTGTGCAAAATAAGTTAGCAGAACAGCTCCCAATGGCCTGGGGAGAGAAAATTTTAGGAATCCCTGGTACGTGACGGTGAAAGGCCAAATAAAACAGAGATTGTTTCACAAGGAAAAAAAAAAAAAATGAAATCCTTTTTGCACATCCATTAATTGCAGAGTTCCGAAAGGCACGGGGCTGAGCGCAGCATCCCCAGCTATGCAACGTGCTCTGAGCAAACTTCGAATGGCAGCAGGCATTTCTGAGATTCCCACTGGAAAATGAGGTCACTGTTGTCACAGCCGTAGGGCCAAACCCCCCCAGACCTCAACCCATCCAGCAGCTGCTTATTCCCCAAACGCTGGCTCCCTTCCCTTGCAATGACAAGTCCCAAAGCCCCGTGTTGTCCTACATGTTCTTTTCTGTTCTTTTTCCTTACAGTTCTGTTCTTCTTCCCATGCTAAAGCCATAGCTCTTCCAACCTAAGCCACTCTACGATATGATTCTACGAGGGCAGTGAGGCCTTCTTCCAACCCAAGCCACTCCATGATATGGTATGAGCCCTCCAGGAGCAGCTCCTGCCCAATTCCCATCCCATTCCCCAGGTGAGCTGCTGGAAATGGCCCCATCCTCCTATATACCTCCCCATCAGCTTATGGGCTGAAAACAACACGCTGTGTCATTAAGTCACCCCAGTTCACCCACTGGCAGCGTTTCCCAGAGACAAGGAACAAGTGGGAACTTTCCAGCCACACTGATGGAAAAGAAAAGGAAGGTGAAGAATGCTTCCATGGCTGGAGAACGCAGACCCCAAGCAAAGGTCAGCCAGGACACAGCCAGCAGCATGGGAAGCAGCAGTGGCACAGCAACCCACAAAACAGCTCCGCTGCTGCATTTCAGAATGACTCCAAAAAAGGCAGCACAGACCAGGGAGTACTTGACACATTGGTAACGTGTCAAAAGGAAATAAAATAAATCTTGATGGATCACGCAGGGCAAAAGAAGGGCAGGAAAAGTTCTAACCCAACACAGGCACCCCCTCTAGCGTTTGCTGCAGGCTGCCTTTACCCACCGAAGCCCAGGGACTGGGGTGAGCAGCACGGTTTTGGCAGGGAAAGATGAGTGCACAGGGGCTGAGTGCAGCCCTCAGGCCTTCCATCTGCCCTCTTCATGGGGCAGAGAGGCAAAGCAAGCTCTGCAGAGGGGCCCTTCTGATCCCACTCACAAGCACACGATGTGCTTTGCACTGTGAACCATTCATTTGAGGCCGCACTTATGCCTGCCATACTTTGCTTTTCAGAGTGCCATTAGAGAGCCTCCACATCACAGATCTGAGCACTGCGTGAACGTTGATGAAATAAAAACCTTTGTGCTTTTCACTGAAAGTGAAGCCATGCCTCTAAAGGTGTCCTGTCCATTTCACATCCTCCACAACCTCCCAAGGGCATTTGTCAGGCTGGCAACAGCCCCATTTGTATGAGAAATCCCTGACTTGCAGATCTTGGCAGCTGATTATCAAAGATTAAGGTATTTAAAAAAATCAGGAGGCATTTGAAACCAAAATATTTTTCTGACCCGGCTCTTAGTGCCTAAACAAACAGTAACCACATTGGCCTTTACAGGAAAAAAAAAAAGCATTCAGCATGCAGTCGGTTCCTTTGATAACAGGGCCAGAGGGTTTTTGCCAAACTGCTGAGGTTCTGGGGGGAGGAAAAAGAAAAAGAAAAAAAAAAAAAAAGGGAAAGAGATTTTTATATAATTTCTAAATCTTCTGATCACTGCATCTCCAAACCAGCAGCCTCCTGCTGTCCAAGCAAACTCATCCTGCTGCTCAGCATCGAGCCTGCAGTAGTTTCCTGGAAAGGCCAAATCCCAAAGAAGTGGGAGAGAAGTGCAAGCTTCCCCAGCTCGCCCTGATATCCTC